AGAGAGGGAACACAAGCAGGGGGAGTGGGAGAGGGAGAAGCAGGCTTCCCGCCGAGCAGGGAGCCCGATGCGGGGCTCGATCCCAGGATCCTGGGATCATAACCCGAGCCGAAGGCAGATGCTTAACAACTGAACTACCCAGGTGCCCCAATTTTTTTTTTTTAATAAAGTTTTTCTTGGGGCACCTGGCTGGCTCCGTCAGCGCATTCCGACTCTTGATCTCACTTAGAGTTGTGGGTTCAGGCCCCACATTGGGTATAGAGATGACTTAAAAATAAAAAATTTTTAAGGTTTTTTTAAAGCGAATATTATTTTAAATTTTTTTTTTTTTTTTTAAGATTTTACTCATTTGAGAGGGAGAGGGCATGAACACAAATCGGCAGGGAGGGGAAGAGGGAAAGGGAGAAGCAGACTCCAAGCTAAGCACAGAGCGAGATGCAGGGCCCGATCCCAGGACCCTGAGATCACGACCTGAGCGAAGGCAAATGCTTAACCTACTGAGCCACCCAGGTGCCCCAAAGTGAATATTATTTTAAAGATGACAGCTCCGGGGTGCCTGAGTGGCTCATTTGGTTAAGCATCTGACTCTTTGTTTTTGGCTAAGGTCATGATCTCCAGGTTTTTGAGATTGAGCTCCAGGTCATGCTCCACGCTGGGCATGGAATGTGCTTAGGATTCTCCCTCTCTTTCTTCCTCTGCCCCCGACAGACAGACACACACACACACACACACACCCCTCTCCAAACATACGCACACACACGCGCGCACACACACACCCACACCCCTCCAAAAAAAAAAGCTTTGTACTGTGGAATTTGAGAGAGGAAGAATGAGCTGAGAGGTTTCTTTGGACAGCCTGAGCTCTGCCTGGGTTGTAGGGAAGAAAGGGCAGGGAGCACTGGTTAGGGAACCCCGAGGGGCCTGGCTTTCCCGTCCTGGACCCTGGCACATGGTGGGCATTTAATAAGTGTGGGATTTAATTACCCGGGACAAACAGCATTAGGGAATATGGGAGACAAGTGTGAGTGGCAATGATGATTTAGTTCACCGCGTAGAATAAAGCTGCCTTCAGCTGAAGTGTTACTAACAGTTTCCACATGAGCTGGAACGTAGCCATCTTAACTCCCCCAGAGTATGCAGAAGTGACCAGGTGCAGTGTTCAGGGTGGATGGCCCACTGCTTCATGTAGCAGGCACCTCACATCCTCATGCTGTACCTCTGTTCTATTTTATACTGAATTTATTTGGAAAAAAACTTAAAAATTCCACCTGGAGTGAAACACTTAAAATCAGTTTTTTGCAAGCATTCTTCTTTAGTTGGGAGCGTCTCTCGTGTGCCCATGTGCTGTCTTGCAAACCACTGCATCGAGCAGTTCAGAAAACTGTCCACGAGCCTGCAGTTCCGTGCTGCGTATTTCTAGGTGTAGCAGAGAACTCCGGGGGGAATAAGGGCTGTGTCTCGAGCGGGTATTAGATCATCACGGCAGCTTCCCAGTAACTATTCCCGTCCACTTGCTGCCCGGCTGGCTGGTTGTGTATGGAAGTCAGTAAGTGTGAGCTGCTGCCAGAGTCCCAGGAACTCAAGTGTGATGACCGTGTTTTTAAATAGAACTGCGATTAAGAAGGAGGAGAAGATGGAGAAAAAGGAGGAAAAAAAGCCTGAAGACATTAAGAAGGAAGAAAAAGACGAGGATGAGCCGAAACCAGGACCTACAAATCGGTCCCGAGTCACCAAATCAGGTGAGCAGCACCTGCCCAGGGCTCCCCAGGAGAGTAGAGCCTGGTGGGAGGGGCTGGGGAGGTGTCATGGAGTGAGCCAGTGAGGGCGGTGTGCGCTGGGCTGACTGTGGGCTCTGTTGATCGGCAGCTGATAAAGCAGCAGGGCCTCAGGGGATGACTGGCTTGAAGGAGTCTCTGGTGACATCACACACCTGGAGGTGTTCCGCTCCGTGATTTATGGTCACTGGCGGCTCAGGGACCGGGCTGCTTGCTCTTCCTGCGTACCTTTGGCAGATGTGCGAGGGAGAGGTGTCCCGGTTCTTGTCACAGATTTGATGCTGTTCTGCAGCTTGTTCCGCACCTTCAGATTGCCATGAGGCACCACAGAATGTTTTGTGGAGAAAACAAAACCCAGTTCTCCCCGCCCCTCCCCCCCAGTAAAACAAACAAAACTCAGCCATCTGGAGCCTTGGAATTTGGTACAGCGCATTACAAATTAGATCTTAAGTGTTTGGGGTAATTTACTGGCAGTCTCATGAGGAACGTGTTTTTAAAATGTTTCTCAAGTATTGCAAATCTCCCCAAATCAGTAATAGTCATGGTGGTTAAGAGTCTGGTTATTGTGTCATCGAGGGGAAGAACCCATTTGGAAGCCTTTATTGCTGTATATGAATGAAGGGAAGCCCAGCCATCTGATTCAGAACACAAGGGCCTGAATTCTGCAGAGCTTTCCAGAATGTGGAGGAGGACTAAAAAATGGAAATTGGTTATCCTGGAGCCACTAGGTTTGAGCATGCGGGTAAAGGAAGCTGGTGGGTTGGATGTGTTTGTGTTGCAGAATGCACCTTGACTTAGATTTACATTGTAAGATTCGGGGAAATCACAGCCACTTCATCCCAGGTGAGCAAAGACCTGTGAAGGTACACCAGCTGCTTCGTGTCCGTAGTGTGCGCTGCAGGTCAGAACGAGGAGAGAAAGGAGGTGCGGAGGCTCCAGGGGTTCGCACGAGTCCCTAGAGGGAGCAGCGAGAACCCCCAGTCAGCCCGTGCGCTACCTGCTGTCGGGAAGTGGGGGCATCAGCGGGTTTTCAAAGATCGCTGTTTTTTTCCTGAAGGAAGCAGAGGAATGGAACGGACGGTCGTGATGGATAAATCGAAAGGAGAGCCTGTCATTAGCGTGAAAACCACAAGCAGGTCAAAAGAGAGAGTAAGTATTGCTTCCTCCCCAAGTCCGGCGGATTTGTGGGTGGTTTAAAGACCACTTTGATTTGCATTATGAAAACAACGTTGTCTCACCTTTAAAAGTTGAAGAGTTCTTTGAAGTGCTCAAAAGGCATGTTATTAACTGTTTTGATTGTACGTACACACACAGAGTTAGGTTCTACAGCTTATTTCAAAACAATACTTGACGTTTTTACTTTCCCTGATGTGGTGACCCTTCGCGGGTTCTTCGTCGGATTATACCATCTTTTTGAAAGGAAACCGGTTCACAGAAAGTCCACCATTGGGTAGGATGGGCAGGACCCAGGCTGTTCAAGTCAGAAGGCAGGCTCTGCTCCTTGGTTGACCTAGTGCTAGTTGATTCACTTCTTCTCTTGATTTGTTCGTCTTCTGTGACATTAACAGGAAAGAAAAGAGTCCACTGCAAAACCGACTTTGATGTTGTCAGAGAATGGACCTCCATTTCTTAAGCGGTACACAGCTGGACAAACTAGTGGCTTCTCATTTTGTTTTTTTCCACCCTGGAAAACAAAACCTTCTGCTTACCAGCTGAAGGTTCTAGCTGAAACATTCCCGAGGAGAGCTGTCCTCTTGGAGCGAACGCAGAGCTGTCGGTATTCATCCAAGAACATTTTGTTGTGAAGGACTGACTTTTGAAATGAAAACTTGTGTTCTCGAATACAGTCATTCATAATGTTTTACGGGCTACGTAAAAACCATAAAAAGAACTATAAAAATAGAGAAATCTAAAGAAAGCCCCCCAAAAACCCCATAAACTTACCTCCGGAATAACTCTGGAGTTAGAAAAAATAAATAGTAATAAAGTGTGCTTGATTAGAACCTTGAGGTCATGTAGGAGGATGACAGCATAAGAATAGAAGCCTCTTCGCTTTCACGTGGACTCCTCACACTTCCTTTCCAAGGGCATCGTACACAGGACACAGCGTGTACGCTCTTATTTCCAAATAATTACGGAGTCACAGGAAGTTGCCAAAATAGTATGGTCTATGTACCCGTCACCCCGCTTCCCCCAGTAGTTTCTGCTCACATAACTATAGCCCAGTTTCCAAGCCAGGACCGTGACATTGGTCTGTGGGATGTGCGTGCATGGAGTGCTAGGACTTTCAGTTACGGTGGAGTCCACGTGAGCACCACCGCGGTCAGGATCCAGGGCCAGACCGCAGAGATCTCCCGCTCGTGACCCACCCCACCGGCCCAGCCCCAGCCCTGGGAAGCTGGTCCTCTGCTTCCCATCTCTAGAATGTTGTCCCAGTGAGAATGTAGCACGTGACCTCAGCATGATGCCCTTGAGAGCCGTGCAGGTTGCGTGTGTGTGTATGTGCCCTCTCTTTAAAGCTGTGTTTAGCTTCCCCTCTCTTCCTCGGTGCTGCCTACGGAGGTGGCAGCCATCTGTTACTGGGCATCATGGCTGCCCTCAGACCTCTGGTGGAGCCCAGGATCGTTAAAAAGAGGACCAAGAAGTCCATCTGGCACCAGTCAGACCGATATGTCAAAATTAAGCGCAACTGGTGAAAACCCAGAGGCACTGACAATAGGGTGTGCAGAAGATTCAAGGTCCAGATCTTGATGCCCAACATCAAGGGAGCAACAAGAAGACAAAGCACACATTGCCAGGTGGCTTCCGGAAGTTCCTAGTGCACAACATTGAGGAGCTTGAGGTGCTGCTGATGTGCAGCAAATCTTACTGTGCAGAGATTGCTCACAGTGTCTCCTCCAAGAACCGCAAAGCTATTGTGGGAAAAGCAGCCCAGCTGACAGAGTCAGGCTCCAGGTTTCTAGGTGCCGAGGAACATGGATGTTGTTCTTTGTGACGGATGTTCTCCGAGTGCCCTTCAGAAAGGGAACAGGATCCTGTAGTCCCTGGGTGTGTAGAGCGTGCCAGGCTGCTGGTATGTGGGAGGCCCGGCTGTGGACACTAGCTGCACCCTCACCTGGGCACTTCAGGCGTCTGGCCCTCCGCCCTCCAGCCTGCAGTGTGTGGGAACAGACTCAAAACCCCTTGCCCATCTCATGGGTGAAGAGTATCATCCTGGTGTTTTGGGTTCTGGTCTTTTTTTGTGATGGGATTGTCCTCTCTGGGGCCCTCTCTTTTTGGCAGAATATCTGTTCGTAACTGTTCCTTGCCTTTCTATTGGGTTGGTCCTCCAGCCCCACCACCCACGAGGTAATTAAGAAAATAACCTGGGGAGGGGTGCCTGGGTGGCTCAGTCGTTAAGCATCTGCCTTTGGCTCAGGTCATGATCCCAGGGTCCTGGGATCGAGCCCCGCATCGGGCTCCCTGTTCGGCGGGGGGCCTGCTTCTCCCACTCCCACTCCCCCTGCTTGTGTTCCCTCTCTAGCTGTGTCTCTCTCTGTCAAATAAATAAATTTAAAAAGAAAATAACCTGGGGAAATTTTTTGAAATGTCTCCCAGGCCCCTTCCCTAGAGACCCTGAGGTGGTGGGTCAGCAAGAGGCCCTGTATTCCAAGCTGTGAAAGCTTCCTGGGAGAGTGATCGTGGCTAGCTTGGGTGTCCTAGCCTCCGAGAGCCTCAGAAATGAGAGTCGGCGGGTGACATTTTGTGCCTTATCCTGGAAACGGAGTGGCAGGGCAGTTGCCCGTGACTACTTTGTAGCTGAGTAGGTGCTCTTTCCCAGGAGCGCTGCTTCGGCCAGTTGTATTTGAAGGCCTGAGGCAGCAGGTGAGAAGTGCATCCAGTGTGCACCTGCCCCATGGCTCTGTGAGGTCTTGTTCTAGATTACGCAGAGTCCTTGGCCCTGCTGCGCTAGATCTGCCTGTAGGTTTTGTGGGGTGTCATCCCTCCTTGCTCTTCCATGACGCCCTTTGTTTGCAGTGTGTGAAGGTAGCTCTCTAGAGTGAGCAGCGTCTCTGGGCTGTGGGTGAGCTGAACTGCCTCCTGGGCCTTCGTGGAAACCATGGGGGACAGAAAAATTTTAATCTACCCCAGATACGCATATAACTTTCTTTGTGTGCTGGTTGCATTTTTTTGACGTTAATAAACCAATTTTGGTAAACAGAGCTCCAAGAGTCAGGATCGCAAATCGGAAAGCAAAGAGAAGAGAGACATCTTGTCGTTTGATAAAATCAAAGAGCAAAGGGAGCGCGAGCGCCAGAGGCAGCGGGAACGGGAGATCCGAGAGACGGAGAGGCGGCGGTGAGTGGGGCCCCGCAGCCTGGCAGGTGGGTGGTCTCCTCTGGGGGCGTTCCGCCTTTCTCCCCAAGCGAGTGACCTGCCTGGCCTAGGCTTGCTGGCTGCCTTGTTTCCCGAGGCAAAAGGCGAGGGTCAGGAGGGGTCGTGGTCAGCCTCGGCATGATGTTCCTCAGAGCTGGTTTTGTTCGAGACCTGAGCTGATATCAAGAGTCTGACGCTTAACCAACTGAGCCGCCCTCATCAGAGTTGCTCTCCACTGTGTAGTGTTTCCCCTGGCCCAGGTAGCAAGCTCACCTGTGTGTGGCTTTGATGGAAGGACCCCCAGTGTCGAGGTCTCAGTCTTCCCTGCTGAAACCCCACATAAATAAGATCAAGAATGCAGCCAAGGGATGTGGCATTTTTATTATTAGAGATGTTATTCACGGGAGTGGCGTCTTCACTCCTGAAATGTCTACATCTCTGCAATTTCAGGTGGCCTCAGTCACACGTGACATTCTTTGCCACACTCACCTTTTGTTAAGGAGGCAGTTTATGGAAGGAGGCCTGTTCCCAGTCTTGCCTTCTGCCTTTTCCCATCCAGGGCTCCCTTGTCATTTTCCCTTGTATACCGCTCAGCGAAACGAAAGCTTTACGTCATGGTGTTTGGAGAACTTGCTTGAGCGAAAGCGGGTCGTGTAGAAACTTCTCCAGTTACACTACATTTGCTTTCCTACGTAGTGGGGTTCCGGCGTCTCTGCTTATGTAGCTTTAGAAAGTAAAAGCACCATTGGCTGTCATGTTTCCCACTGGCTCGCACTGACTCTGGAGCCTTTCCAGTCCCTGGGGGGCAGGTGCGAGGAGTGGCAGCGACTCCTGTGGCAGATGCAGAGGGGGTGTCCCCAGTCCCCTTCAGCTCCGGGCGTGCGGTGGCTGATGGTGCGAGCCCTGGCGCCAGGCCGCATATCGCCGGCCCCCTCAGCTCATGCCTGGCCTTCTGTGCCCACAGCTTCCCAGGTCGGCGCGAAAAGGCGCGGTCATTAGAAAATGCAGCCTTGTAGGAGCGAAGGTGTGAAGGAGGAGGGCCCATTACACAGCATCGTGCAGTCCTTCCTCCGGGCTTCTCTCTGTGCAAGGCAGCCTTCGTTGTAGCAGTCAGCCTTGGCTTCTCTTACATCTCTCCCCCTTAATGTGTGGCTTCACTTTGGTGCCTTTGAGCCAAGTCCTCAAGGCCCAGACCCCAGGCTGGTCTCCTGGCCCGTGCCCCACCCCCCTCTCCCCTGGCTTTGCTTTTGTGACAAAGGAGAGTTGCGAGGAGGGGGTTTGCGGCCGAGGCGCGCAGCTCAGCGGAGTGGGGTGGCGCCTGTCCCCCATCTCCCCCTTGGGAGGATGGTGCCCGGGGGCCGCCAGGCCCCGGCGCAGGCAAGTCAGGGCGGCCTTCCCGTGTTCCCGCAGAGAGCGCGAGCAGCGCGAGCGGGAGCAGCGCCTGGAGGCCTTCCACGAGCGCAAGGAGAAGGCGCGCCTGCAGCGGGAGCGCCTGCAGCTCGAGTGCCAGCGGCAGCGGCTGGAGCGCGAGCGCATGGAGCGCGAGCGGCTGGAGCGCGAGCGCATGCGCGTGGAGCGCGAGCGGCGGCGGGAGCAGGAGCGCATCCACCGCGAGCGCGAGGAGCTGCGGCGCCAGCAGGAGCAGCTGCGCTACGAGCAGGAGCGGCGGCCGGTGCTGCGGAGGCCCTACGACGATGGGCGGTAAGGACCCGGCCCCCTTCCGTGGAGGGTTGGGGACCTTGACGACCGAATCTGGGGCCTCTGGATGCCTGCGCAGGACTCACAGCTGCCTCCACCTCGAGTTTGTGGAGTTTCTCGATCTGGGGGCTCTGCGGCGTTTTCCCGGAGTTACTCTGCAGAGAAGCTTGATGGTTGCCACTTGGGGAACAGTTTGTGATGCTCTCGCTTAGGCTGCCCCGTTCTTCACACTGCGGTTCCTGGTGGAGCATAACCACCTGCCAAGTGCCTGTCTGGGGCCGGCCGAGCCTGCGATTAGGCCCGTGGGCACCATGGCCTCGTAGAGGGAGAGGCATGGAATTGCGCTGTAGAAAAGGAAATTGCCTTCCCGTTCACAAAGTGGGTTTATTGGTCTCCAACCCCTCTGAGCTGCTTAATTGATGGTCACCCATCACCCCACCACCCATGCATGAGCCCAGTGTTAAAAATCAGGAAGAAGATAATTGAATGCCATCCTGAGCTGTATGTAGTTCACTATCACCCGATCTAATTCCCTTTGCTTTTGCAAAAAACTCAGAGGGAGGTGCAGGTTACCATAGAAGACGGGAAAGGGGAAATGTGGCAGTTCCAGAAGAATCAAATATTTCATTTCCCTTGCATCTGGGCTCACATGGGGATCAAGGTATTAACAGCCTTGTGATACAATTAGCTCCCAGCAGCCTTCCTTTCAGGACTGTCAGATGAAAATACCGGCATGCCTCTTGGCAGTTTGGGGGATTTTAATTTATCAAATCAAAGCAATAATGATTGAATGTTTAGAGATTAGCCCTGCAGGACATTTTAAACGATACTGGGTCTGGAGAGAGCTCTCCTCCCCACCTCCACCTCTTTCCCTTTTCCCCTCATTCTCTGTCATAAATGAAATTCACGTCCTTTTAAAAATAAAAAACAGGCGAGATGATGCTTATTGGCCAGAAGGCAAGCGTGTGGCCATGGAGGACAGGTACCGCCCAGACTTCCCTCGGCCTGATCACCGCTTCCATGACTTTGACCATCGAGACCGGGGCCAATACCAGGACCATGTGGCTGACAGGTCAGCACCCACCCTCTCCTGCAGCTGTGGACGGAGCCAGCTCAGCCTGACGCAGGCATGGGTCTCCCTCTGTTCTCCGACGTCTCATTTACTTGTGAGGCTCCCCGTGCCTGGCTGACCCGCTGCACGTGGGATTTAGAAGCTCACGCCTTGAGCAGGATGTTGGACTCGGGCGTCCCTTAGGGCATCCTTAGCTTGTGTGGCGGGAGGACCCTCAGCTCCTTTCACGCACTGCCCTCCACAGACCGGTGGGGACTGGGGGCGATTCCTGAGTCTCCGCAGCCCCATGCCCAGCTCTCCAGGGCCCATACTCTGGGCCTCACAGCTCCCCTGGGCTCTCTCCCAGCCACCCCTCCACCAAAGCGTCCCTTGGGAAGCAGAGGGTTTCGAGGAGGGCATGCCCAGCCTCCTGTTTCTACGGAGAGGAAGCCGTCTAGAGCAGGGGTATGACCCGCCTGAGCCTTTGCAGGCAGAGCAGGCCGGAGTCCGCGTGCACGGGGTTCACTGAGCAACAGGTTCCAGTGCCAGCACACCAGGCAAGAGCTGACTGTAGCACGCGGGAAGGTTCTTGCTGCCTAGCGTGGTGGTTTAAAGGTTTGAAAAGGTTTTTTTTAGCCAGGCCCTTTTTAAAAAAATATTTTTTTTTTGTCAAGTGTCTTTTTAAACGGGGAATATATATATGTAGTTCGTTAGAAAGGCAACCCTCAAATTTCTAGTTTAAGAATTCTCTGTCTGGGTTTCTCATCATGTTCCCCTGGGCTGCATATCCCTGAGCCGTTTCACCGTTCGTAAGCTCTTCTGTAAGGAAGGGAGAGCAGGGGAAAGATGGGCTGAGAAGCACTCATTTAATGAATGGTGGTTTGAGATTTGGTGTGAATCACATGTATTGGATCAAACCAGAGGTTGGGAACCCTCTAAGGCTTCTCTGGTAGACCTTGGATTTTGTCACTTGGCCACAGATAATAGGCATTGGCTTCGTGGTGTGGGTCACTACCTCTGAGATCCCTCAAGGGATTTTAGTTCAGTAAAATCTTTATTCCCACCTTCTTAGGATCCGGTTTCACTCCCACCCTCAGGGAGAAGGCTTTAGATGCAAGCCAGCTTTTTTGCACAGGCCAGTAAATTACAGTTCTTACTGGGTGGAATGGAATAAGTACCCCAATTGTGGAACTCGTGTGTGTGTGGCCTGCCGAAATGTTGTCTAGTGCCACCAGCTGCCGTTGGAATGAGATATTTCGCTTTTGCAGGAGGGAAGGTTCAAGGTCAGTGATGGGAGAGCGAGATGGGCAAGTAAGTAAATCCCAGACACCAAGCCTGGGGCGCACCTGCTTCTGCGTTGGGGCGGGGGGTGGGGGGGCGGATTGCGGACGTGTCCGTTCTGGCCGGTGAGTGGAAGTGTGCGTCGTTGATTGTTTTCTGATTAGTCAGTCTGTGTTTTTCGACTACGTAGGGCCTGTGCCGCCTCCTGAGAAGGATGTATCTGGGGGTCTGCGGGCACTGACCACCCTGGGGGTGTGGGAGGGGCCTTCCTGTCATCAGCAAGGAGGAGGTATCCTGATTCTTCCAGGGAAGACTGACTCTTCTCAGAGGACCCTTGGGCGGAGCCGTCAAGCACCATAAAGTGCGGGGCTCTCCACCTGCACAGGGCCAGAGAGGCCTCAGCTGGCCCTTCGTGTGGCGCCAGAGATGGAGCTGTAGGGACGCTCAAGGGTTCTGAAGCACTGTCAGGGTTGGAAGGGAGCATCCGGCGAGCTGAGGGTCAGGAGCCACAGCCTGGCCGGCTGCAACAGGCTCACAGGAGTGATGTGGCTAGAGTCGCCCTGTCCCTCTTGTGCCTTCCAGCACTACTCAGACGACCGCCATGGCCATGGAGGACCACCGGAGCGCCACAGCCGGGACTCCCGGGACGGCTGGGGGGGCTACAGCTCTGACAAGAGGATGAGTGAGGGTCGGGGGCCACCGCCTCCACCCAGGTTAGCAGCGAGCGGCTCTGGAAATGGGCCGGCCCTGGGTGCCTTGCTGGTTTGCCCCCAACAGCCCTTTCCCACTTTGCCTCAGCCCCTAGGAATGGGATCCCCTGCCTGCTGATGGAGACAGCCCTAGAGCCTTTCTTACACTTGCCCCGGGGACCAGAGAAGCTTTATGCACCCCCACCCCTGTCCCCCAGTCACCTTTAGGCGTTTTTAAGGCAGGTGTGGTGCCTGTCAGAAGGTTCTGCCTCCCCCAGGTGGGTTTTCAGGTATGGAGCGAAGAAGGCAGCACCGCTTTGATAGATATAAACGTAAAGTGTTCTTTCCCAAGTGACCTATTTAGCACTTGGTCCTTGAATACCATTTAGTCCATTTTGCCTTAAATACCTGTGGGAAATGGAACCGGGAGAACTCCTCTGCAGACAAAAGATAGCCCCGAGCGCCGTGACCGTGGGGCTGGGCGGCTGTCACCCATACATGCAGGGCAGCCGAGCATTCGCCCTCGAGGACAGGCGTCAGGGGCTCCAATGGGCTTCTCGTCCCAGGTCTCAGAGCACAGGTCAGCCTGGGCCTGGACCCCCCTGGTGGCTGCTGGTGCTCACACACTGGAACCCTGTTTGGATTTGTACTACCTGGAGTTTCTCTCTGTAACTTTTTTTAAACCACTTTTATGAGTCACATTCACATGCTGTAGAGTTGACCCACTTGAAGCGTACCATTTGAGGGCTTGTAGTGTGTTCAGAGCTGGCTATTCATCACCACCATCCATCACAGAATGTTGTCAGCACCCCCAAAGGAAGCACCCGTTAGCAGTCACTCCCCATTCTGCCTCCCCCCTCCCCTGGCTCCCACTGATCCAGTCTGTCTGTGGATTTGCCTCTTCGGGGCATTTCACACAAATGAAATCACATTATGTGGCCTCTTGTCTGGTTTCTCTCAGTATCGTGTTTGCAAGGTTCATCCGCGAGGTCTCACGTGTCAGCTGCATCCCTTTTTTTTTTTTTTTTTTTTTTT